TGCTCCCCGTCACAGTGACCTAGATCCCAGAGAACAAGGGGCCAGGTGGGATAGGCAGCTGTCACTTCTTATGTGGGGGAAGTGCCAGGGACTGGCTGCATAGGGGAGATGTGATTCAAAGGGCTCCTGCCAGAGAGGGATGGCTGGGGAGCACCCAGGGCAGGAAATGGGAAGGGCTGTCTGGGAGCAGTGGCCTCTCCATTGACAAAGGTCAGATCCCTTTGAGGGGTCCCCTGTCCCCATGATCTGACCCTGCTCCTGTCATTGGGTTCATGAGCAACCTCCGCTGCAGACCTTCTAGGCTGGTTATCTTTCTCTGGGTCCACTTCAGAGGCAGGACCCTAACAACCTGGTCTCCTGTGGCCAGTGTAACAAACAACAAGAAAAGTAATGACTATGGTCTGTTACTTCAGGGGGTCAGAAGCTTGCAATGGGTCTTCCTGGCTGAAAGCAAGGTGTGGCTGATCGCGTTCCTCCCACAGGCTGAGGGACAGCTCTGCCCTTGCTCCTTGCAGCTTTCAGGGGCTGTTCTGGAGTGTCCCTTCTCTGCTTCTGTCCTTGCCTCCCTGTCTCTGACATCTGGCCTCTTGCTTCCCTCTGCAAAGACCCTGTGATGACATCAGGGCCCCTGGGCAATCCAGAATCACCTCCCCACATCCAGATCCTTAGCTTCATCCCATCTGCAATATCCCCTTGCCATGTAAAGGAATGTCGCCACAGGTCCACAGGGTTAGAACTAGGCTGTCTCTAGGGCATTTTTCTTTTTACAGAACTATCAGCTGCCTGCTATACTGTTCAGGTTACCTAGGGGATGAAGCTTAGTTACAACACAGACATGATAAGCAGAACTTCTGGGCTGGTCACCTGTGACTAGTCCCAGTATTGTCTTGACTCCCTACTCGGAATGTACCGTTCCTCTTGGCTGACCCCTGGCCTTTCCCGCTAGCCCATAACATGATGCAGACAGGTGGCTGGAACTCCCTGCCTGGGAAGTGCAGTGAGGTCAGCTGTCTCCTAGGATACTGGGAGGACTCAGAGATTAGGTGGTGCTGGAAGCAGGTCTGCCCCCTCCTGTCACCGCTGAGCCTGGCTGCTAGCCAAGTCTAGGCTAAATCATGTAGGGTGTTCCCAGACTGCTCCCAGAAATCTTGACCAGTCCATCAGGCTGGGGGGGGGCATCTCTTAGGTACCTATTGCTTATGTTCCTATTGCTTCTGGGTTCCCAGGAGGGTGGTTACTATCCCCATACAGAGAGCAGATATGAGCCCACAACACCAGGGATATCTGTTTCCTCACAGATTGGAAGATGCAGTCCCCTATGTGAAGGGCAATCCTCACACCCAGGTGTGACCTGGCTGGTCATATCCCCCCTCAGGGCCTCAGTTTCCTTTTCCATGTATTGGGTTCATTACTCACATCAGGAATCCTGGTAGTTTAAAAGAAAGACCAAATTCCCACACTTTGCACACTGAGTATTTATTTATTTTTTATTTTTTGACAGAACCAGAACCCTGTCAGGCCACACAGGGCTGGTGGAAACTAAAACCCTTCCAGAGACCCTTTCCCCACCCCCAGCATCCCCATCAGGTACCTATCCCTCACCCCCATTTTCCCTTCTGGTCATGGAGGTGATGTGTTCCTGGACTCATCTTCTATTTCTCACTTGCAAGGGGAAATAGCCCTGCCGGCGATGTTGGAGGAGCCAAGGACCTGGGTTCCATCTCTTACCTGCTGCATGGCCTAGGGCAGGGTCTGACCCACAGGGCACCTTGGCTTCTGGATCCATGGGGCACTTGGTGAGGTGACAGTGCCCAGGGCCAAGGAGTCCTGGCTAGGCATGGTGACAATAGAAGGGGACCTGAAGGCAGGGAGGAGAGAACCTGTAGCCATCCAGAGGAGCACTTCCTCCTAGTCTGTGTGGCACTAGGCAAAATGCAACTTGGGCCCCAGTCCAGGCTTGAAAGTGTGGGTCTGGACCCAGGTGTATAGAGCTTCTCAAGCTCATGCAGAGAAATAGCCATGCTGTGCAATTCATTCCCAGAACCCCCACACCTGGGTTCAGGGGGCTCTGGAGAGGCTGGTTGGGCTCAACTGACTGCCTCTGCGATTAGCAGCAAGCAAACAGCCTCTGGCCATCTGGGCTTCTGGGGTGGAAGGGATCTGGCCAGTAGTGGTAAACAGTGTGGAATCTCCCAAGGTCAAAGGCTCTTGGGCCTGAGTCCTTGGCTCAGGGCCCCTAACAGCCTGTAGAATCCAGTCTCTGCTGGTGGTGGACAGGGGGTGGGTGTCCAGCTGAGACCCCCTGGGTATGCAGTCATGCCCCCGCCATCAGGAGGGCTCTGTCTTAGCACTTGACTCCCTTGATTTCTAAGGGACACTCCTACCCAGTCACATCCTTCCCTCTGGTGTTTCTGCACCTTTGAAATTCAGACAGAATGTACATACTGTGTCCTCTTCATTCTTGATGGGACACAAAATAAGTCCCCCTACAGCCCATGGTGTGATGAGGCAAAGAAGTAGATGTTATCTCCATGTGACACCTCTCACCCCTCCTTGGCCAGTGTCAGTCACACTGGGCTCCTACCATGTCCCCTCTGGGGAGGCTGTGGCTAACCGGTCCCACAGAGCACCCAGTGACTGTGCATCACATCTACACCCCTGCATGAAAAAAGACCAGCCCCTGTGTCATGGGCTGAACTGTGTCCCCCAAATTCATATGTTGAAGCCCTGACTGCCCAGTCCCTCAGAGTGTGACTGTTTGGAGATGAGGTCTTTAAAGAGGTGATGCAGGTTGTGAAGTCACTAAGGTGGCCCTGATCCAATCCTCCTGGTGCACTTGTGAGAAAAGGACATCAGGGCACAGATACATAGAGGGACAGCCATGGGAGGACACAGAGAGAATATGGCAAGGTGAGGCCTCAGAGGAGCCAGCCCTACAGGCACCTCGCCCTCGGTCTTCAGCATCCAGAATGGGGAAGATGCTTCTCTGCGGTCCTGACCCTGTCTGCAGTGTTTGTTATGGTGGAGCAGATTATGCTGCCAGGGAGGGGCCCCAAGAGGCAGAGCAGCATGGTTGTCCTGGCCCACAGAGGGAAGTGGGGAAGTAAGGTCCAGTGGCTGGCGGAGTCCTGGGCCAGTCAGGTGAATTCCAGAAGTGTTCATCACCTAACCACACCCCCGTGACAACACATGTCATTAGCTAGGAGTGACGTAGGACTGACACTCCACCCACCACATCTGGGGGTGCTAATAAAAGTCAGATGGCCTCATGCAGGCCAGACATTTGCTCTGTACACTTGCCTGCCTACCTGCTTGGACTAGGGATGCGACACCTGCTCTGGTTGCTGCCTCTGTTCCTGTTGGCATGGCCAGGTAAGCTTGTGGGTGCCCTGCCCTGTGTCCCCAGGGCTCTGAGGACCCTGGCTGCCATTCTGAGAGTCTGATGTACGTGGACATGCCCCCAGAATGATGTGCCCCTCTGCTGCCCAGAGAAGGAGCCAGGGCACAGGGCAGGACTTGCTCAGAGCCTCGGTTTCCTGCCCTAGAGAATGCATGGTGCTGTGACTTCTGGTGGGCTCCCAGAACCAGCAGTGGGCTGACTGCCAGGGTGGGCAGGCAGATGGGGGAGCCAGAATGAGGTGGAGGGTTTGGGAGGTGGGTGCTTTCCAAAAAGCAGGGTCCAGACCTGTGGGGTCGATGGCTGTGGGGTGGGAGGCCTGGGTCCCTGAACTGAGGCATCTCTCCTCCAGTCCAGGGCCTGAAGTGTCACGAGTGCTTGGCATCAGGAAATTGCTTCCAGCCCACGTCTTGCAGGGCTGACGCCCGATACTGCCTGACGACCTGGAACAGTGAGTATCTGCCTTCCGGGCAGGTGGGGGTCAGGGTGGTGTGGGGTGAGATGTGGATCTGACACCTGGAGCCTCCAGCAAAAAGGCAAGCCTGGGAAGTCCCCCATTTCTAATCTAGGCACTGAGATTGGCCGGCAATTGTTCAGGTAAACACTGTGATTGTCTCTACCCTGCAAAATGGGCACAACGCTGCTGCTTTCTTCCAAGTGGAAGAGCAGACAGGATATTCTGTCCACTCCACATGCTGCATGGGAAACACAACAATTCAGATTGTTCCCAAGGGTACCAGCTACTCAGAAAGGAAGAGTGGGGAAGTAGAGTAGCAGGTAGAAGCCCTAGTGGTGGTCACATGCTGGGCCCTGACCCTGGTCACCTCCTGCCATGCTTCCCTGTGGGGTGGGAGAGCAAGGAGGAAGCATCAGGCAGGCTGTCGGGAGGCCTGAGTGTTTTGAGAGGGGCAGGAGCGGATTCCACAGGTCTCAATAAACAACTCTCTTATCTTGCCTCTTCCAGGTCCCCCAGGACAGAAAACACTTGTTATAAAGTCATGTGCTTACACCTGCCCTGGCTTCCAAGAGAGCCTGAGTTACTCCAGAGCTTCCTGTTGCAACACAGACCTCTGCAACAGCACCGTGAGCCCCAGTGCCAGCTGGGGGTTGCTGGCCCTGAGTGTCTTGGGTGCCTACCTCATCAGGTAATGGTGGAGCTCAGTCCAAGGCACGCCCAAGAGTACAGGACTAGGAGTCTGGAGCCAGGTTCCACTGGTGGCTGACATGCTTTTTGGCCTTGGTGTGGCACTTCTGCACTTCCAACCAGAAGGACTCCAGGAGAGAATGAACACATAAGTGGCCTTTAAAGGACACTAGACACACCACTCAAGGTCATTTCTGCTGTCCAGGTTGCTGCATTCTGATCACCAGCCTGAGAGCTGGCCATCTCCCAGCCTCCAGGGGCCATGCAGTTACATGGTCCTGGTTAAGCCAGGCTGAAGCAGGAGCCTCTGGAAGTCCAATCCGTTGTTCCTTTCCTGGTGTTTCAGGGCTCAAACTCCTAGCAACCTCAGAGAACCTGGGCTCTGTGCCACCACCTCAAGTGAGAAGGATCCTTGGCGGACACTAGTGCTACATTGCCAGCACTCAAGCTTGCTGCTGTGAGGCAGGCCAGGGACCATGGAGAAATGCCAAGCCTTCCACTGGCTGGGGCAGGGGCAATTGGCCATGTGGGGACAGAGGCACCCCTGAGCATCACATGGGGTGGTGTTGGTGGCAGCAGGGACAGCACAGATAGCGCATGCAGCCCCCGGCGTCACCTTCTGTCTAGGGCTGGGCCTGCCCACCCACATCAGAATCTCAGCTGCGAGAACTCCTGTGCATGCTGGATCCAAGAGCACAGGGATAAGAAGAGCAAGGGCCAGGCCTCACCCAGCTGTGAAGCTACTTCAGAGCCAAGCCTGAGGCCACCTCCCCTCTCTGCCTACAGCTTGGATGATGCCTGGGTCAGCTGGTCAACCCTCAGGAATCATACATTTTTTATTCAAGAGTGACTACCTCCAAAAAGAACATATAGCAGGTTCTTTCCTCAGAGACCTGAAAGCTCAGACAGCACCTGCCCTGCTCTTCCCAGTGGGGCCTCGACAGGCACTGGCCAGCAGAGCAGGCTATGGAAGGGAATTGTGGAGAGCCCACCAGCCTGCCCTGAGGTCCCTGGCTTCTCACCTGACTCTCCTCACCACCTACCTCACTTCTTTCTCCTCTTGGGGAGGGAAGGTGCACAGGCTCCTCACTTGCTACAACCCTCGGGCAAGGCTGGGGTCTCCTCTGACCCTAAACACTTACCAGGACCTCCTTCCTAACAAAGTTGGGACTCTTCTGCAATCGGGCCCCTCATTCTAGCCATCAAGGGGACACAGCCTGAGAAGACTGGTGTCACCAACCTCCTCAGCAGCCCTGGTATTACAACCTCACCCAAGTACCAGGCCTCAAGATCCCCTTTGACCCATCATCCCAGAGGTGGGACATCTATAAAAACTTAAACAAGAAATATAATATTTATAATAAATTAAAAGTGATATTTAAGTTTTTATTGTGTTCACAGAGTTCATGGGTTTAAGGGACTTTCCAACCTGCGCCACCCTGGAAAAAATTAGTGCCCAGCTCAGCCTTCTGCCATTAAGCACCCCTCTTCTGCACAAGAGCTGGTGGGTTCTCTGGTTGTTAGGGCCAACCAGTGGGCACATCAGGTGTCCAGCAGTGACTGCCATGAGTTCAGTGTGTGTTCATGGGCAGTGGGAACAGAATGCATCTCCTGCATAACTGCCCTATACATGCCAGTTACTGGATGTTCAGGACCCTGACTTCAGCCTCCACAGCCCAGTTGGGTGGTAAGGAGGCATGGGCTCACCTGTGTGCAGGGATCCCTCTGAACTCACCAGCCAGGAGCCAAGGCTCCTCAGGCAGTTGATAGCAGGTTCCTCCAGGATGGCTTCCCATTGCACCCACTCAGGGAACAGTCCCCCACCTTGTGTAGCCCCAGCAGGGAGACAGAAGCTGTGCCTAGCCTCAGGCACAGCCTGTAATGGGCAACACCCTCTGCTCTGGGTCTGAAGTGGTCCAGGGACTTAAGGGTCCCTGAAGCCTGTGCCCCAGCACCTAGCTCAGTGCAGGGGACAGCAGACCATGGAGAGTGTTATGGGCTCCTTTATTGAAGCAGGTGGGCACACAGGGAGGGTCCGGGACTTGTAAGGACAAGAAGTGGCATCATGACCTCATCTGGGATCAGCTCAGGCCTCTCTAGGGGACTGAGGCCAACACTAGGTTTCTGCACATGGTGCTTTAGAGAGATTAGTCTCAGGGGTGAATACCAAAGCCTGACAAAGAGTATCTGGCACTGATCCTGCTTTAGACAAGAGAGCTTGGCTCCAGGGGTCAGGGGAACACAACCTTCTCAACTGCACACTGCCTGCTGGGAAGGACCTACCCTGTGCATCCTGACCTGGAAGCCCCAGGGCCACGTGTGCTGGACACATGCAGCTGGAACCAAAGCCAGGCAATGGCAGCAGGTCTGGTGGCTCTGGCACCCGCTTCAGTTCCAGGCTTCCTACTGCATCCACAGCAAGAGGAGCATCAGCTTCAAAGCCTTTTGTGTTATTGTGGTGCTGGAGATCGGATCCAGGGGCGCTCTACTACTGAGCCACACCCCAGCTTTTGTTTTGAAACACAGTCTCACTAAGCTACTGAGATTACAGGCATGTGCCACCACACCCGGCTTTAGTGCCTTTTAATACTATCTTGAGACTGGTCAGGAGGTTTGGTTCACCCAGTACAATCCAGGACTACTACAGGCACTTGATGCTGGAGGTCACCACAAGAGTGACTGCACCCACCCTGGGACATGATGGTGGACTCTACACACCATGCTGCCTGGTTTTTTTTTTTTTTTTTTGCAAAAAAAAAAAAGAATGCAGGAATCATCACACTGTTTTTTTTTTGTTGTTGTTTGTTTGTTTGTTTTGTTTTTTTTTGTTTTAAATCAGGCAAGGGAGAAACATGTCTAAGAAGTGAAAACCCATGCTCAGATCCTCTCCTCCAGTCCCTCTGCTCAAGGGAGTGACTGACACCCTTCCTCATGCAGGACCAGACAAAATTAGGGATTGACGCCAAACCCTTCCTTCCATGTACATCACGCACTTACTTCCACCCATGCTTCTTTAGTCATCAGTGCTGAGGTGACAGTTATGTGCCTTCGGTTTAGAAACTAAAGTAACTTTTATATTTTCATGTTGATACCTATAGATATAGAAAATTCCTTTACATTTCAGGAGGCCCTGCATAGCCAGTTGCTTTGATGGCAAATTTTAAACTGCTTCTGATTTTCTGTGATCACAACTTGCTTATTACCTATGCAGGTCTTTGTGCTCCAACCAGATTATTTCTGTTGAATACTCTCCTAAAAGTAGAATTCTGAAAAATAAATGTCACACATTTAAAATTTTTGTTATTTCTGCCAAGCTGCCCTTCTCAAAGGTTGCACCAAGCACTGTCTGGCTTTGGTGGAGGGTTGAAGAAAACTGAGAATTACAGCTATGGTTAGTTAGGTTCTGATGGGCAACCTCTACCAGCTGGGCTTCTCCCCCATGCTTTGCTGATATATTTTTAGAGCAAGAGTCCTATGTTAAGACTTGGCATTCACAAGGTGCTCTCATTACACTCTGAGTATTTTCCCACCTGATTCCTATGTTATAGCACCTATTCTCAGCCTAGTTGCAATGTGTACACAGGCTGCAGATGCAGGTGAGGCTAAGTGACCTGTAAGAGATCAACTCACTGGAGAACAGGAAAGGGCTGGGCTTTGGGCTCACCTCTGACCCATCTGTCCCATCAGACACCAAACTACTGTGCTGGCTAATAACCATAGATCCTCAGGGTACGGGGACACTGAAGTCAGGGTCATTAAATTGGGTGGGTAGGTCAGGAAAGGCAGCAGAACAAGTTGGCATTCTCAGGGTAGAAGGAGGGCCAAGGGAGCCTGGAGTCTGGTCATGGCTGTGCTTGGGGTCTTTGTTGGTGCAGGGGCATGAGGCCTGGAGAATGGACATGAGCTTGCTGTTGGACAGTGAAGTTTGGGCATGAAGCTTGGACCACAGGCTCCTAGATGTGGCCATGGCACATGGATACTGAATTCCAGTGGAGGTAGGGCATCCAGGATAGTGTCAGGAACTAGGTGTGTGGGCCTAGGTCTTTCACCAATGGAACAAGAGCCCAAAATATCATCTCTGACAAGGAACATCTTGAGGGGCATGTGCCCAGAGACCTTCCCAGAGAATATCAGCCACTACTGGGGTTATGCCTTCAGAGCTGATAGAAACAAAGTCCAGAAGGCTTCTGGAAATCCCACACATGTGTGGAAGACATTTGCCCACTCACAGAGCCTCACCAGAGGGCTTTCTGTAGAAGAACCTGGTGCCAGGACCAGTTTCCCGAAACACTCTCTTTCTAGTTTCCCATGCCCTCTCTGGTCTCCTGAGCTCTCTGTGGAGGGTGCAGGGAGCACTGCTGCTCAGTTCTGTGCAGTCAGACAGGACCTTATCACCCATGGCAAATCAGTTCAGCCATCCCAGAGTCACTCTGCCTGGACTCAATACAATCTCCGACATTCACCTGAGTTGTTGTGCACTGGAACCCTATGGCCTGACCAACATCAGGAAGGCAGGTGCTAGCTGGAGCCTTTAGGTGGAGGCTGCTGGCCCAGGAGGTTTTCTACTGCAGGCTCCAGCACCCTGGAAGATCCTTTTGCCTGCTGTCCACAATCTGGCTCTTGGAGTCTGGGGCTATCCCTCAAGTCCATTGCCTTCCACTTGTGGAAGGAGGATGTCTCAGCAGAAGAGCTAGACTTCATGGCTTGCTGATACAAACAGGGACTCAGAATGCCTGCTGGAAGTTAAAGAGGGTGGGTCCTAGTTTCCATCTCTCTCAGCTCAAGGTAACCTTCTCAGAGAGGCTTTGGCCAACCATTTTGATGAACCAGCTGCTCTCCAGAATAAGATCTTGTTTTATCATTGTCTTCCACACCTGGATGCTGGTGCTCTGGGTACCTCACAGACATATCTGCTAGCACATGTGTCCAGCACACAGATGCTCTGCAAGAACCCCTACCGACTGACCCTTCCCCAGCCTCCAGCCCTTATACCCTCCCTTGGAATGGATCAATCCTCTTATTGACTTTCTCTTATCCCCTCCCTGTGTAGAAGCACCATCCAGACCTGGTCTGGAACAGAGATGGAGACTTTTCTCTACAGTGTGGGGCTCTCTAATTGAACTAGGTCTTCCTACTACAGCCTGGGCAAGTTCCCTAATTTCTCTTCTAAGCAGAGGAGATAAATGACCTGCCTGCCTCTCAAGAGCCTGGGATGATCAGTCAGTATCTGCCAAGTGCTCACAGTATGAGCTGTCAATCTCTTAATTAAGGAACTAAATAGAGAGAAATGATTCCCCCAGGGAAGACATTCTCCATGCAAATGCCCAGTGTGGAGACATTCAAGATGGCAGAGTAGTGGAAGGCCACACTTCCAGTTGCTCTGGGACCCAGGATTCAAGCAGTGGGAGTACTGTTTCTCAGCAAGGTGGGTGATAGAGGGATTTCACTAAAATTCAACATTGGACAATCAGAGTGTCTTAGAGACTCAGAAATTAGGGTGCACTGAACAAAGAAGAGTATGTTGGAACCAGGCTAGTTGCAGTAGCTGTGCTGGTTCACCACAGAGGGGAGGGAGAACACAGACAGGCATGCAGTGGGCAAATTTGGCACAGAAAGTCCTATACATCAGAAAGGCAGCCCAAACTTAGCTGATCCAGAGCCTGCACAGCCATCTGGTGTTTGAAAGTTACACTATTTCTCAACCAGCCATGCACAGCTGAGGTAAGAACCATCTCAAGGAGGCCACACTGCTGCTTAGTGCTGTGGAACTGGGAGACCATAGCAAACACAGTCCTGGCAAGTACCTAACTTGTGACCCAGGGTGTACCCAGCAGAACATGAATGAAACAGGCATAGAGGAGATTGTACCCAGGGGGATTCAAGTAAGGGATACAGAGGAGAGCCCAACTTGCTTTCCTTTTGAATCTGGAGCTCATGTGACCATAGGAAGTGGGTTGGGAATCTGAACAAGTGGGTGTGAATACATTCAGGGACTCATCCCAGGAAGGCTGTGTTTGAGGGCAGCAGAGTGTGTGGAGGATTGCCCATCCCCTCCCCTGGCCCTCTAAACAGAATTCTTGGGAGGCTCCTGAGACCCAGACTCCCAGCAGATATCAGCAGCTTCCAGACCCCCTACGTGTGACCATTCATTCTTGTCAATTATATTGACCAACTGAGTGGAGACCATTCCTTTATTGTTCATTAAGAATATTCCCCACAGGGGCTGGGGATGTGGCTCAAGCAGTAACACACTCACCTGGCATGTGCAGGGCACTGGGTTCAATCCTCAACACCACATAAAATAAAATAAAGATGTTGTGTCCACTGAAAGCTGA